CATTTTTCTATTTGTAAGCGGTTTTAACTAATACAGATATACCTTATTGTATTTTACCCAGTCTTTACGTGATTCTAATAAATGCAGTGATTGAATGATGGAATCTCAGTAAGTGATTTGCTGTTCTAACACGGCCGACCCGGGGAAACTCGAAAGATTGCCCCAGCCGTAACAGGCTCATTGCTCAATTACATGTTCAGATTATGTGAGATCACTTAAAATACTGATGCCTAGTAAATTGTCAATTGTCACAGTTGTTAATTGTCAAATTGTCAATCCACAAAAATATTGATGTTCTGATAGAGCTCCCCAACTTGTGAAAGAAAAGACTTAAATGAACCAGACCAGGTGTTACCTGAGTTTGGGGGTCTGTAGCAACACCAGATGTCTTGAGATTGAACCATGTTGTTAATTCGGCCAAGCATATCTCGATATCAATCTGTATGTCAATTTCGCAAACTGAGCTAAAACTTGTTTTTATGGCAAGTAAAACTCCACCACCATGTAAGACCCTGTCTTTCCTTAAGATAGAATAATCAGCAGGAAGTATTTCGCAGTCCAGTATGACTTTGTAAAGCCTGTGGACACTGTGTGTCTCAGTGACCAGTGCAATATCAGATTCCTCCTTGTAATCCAGCTCTCCTTGAAATCTTGATATTACATACCAGAGAGCCATTGGATTTATGTAATCTCTTCAAGCTACAAGCATTTGACTGAAGACAATTCATTGTAGATCTCATGAATATGTTTATTGTTTGGTCCCATGTTAAGGGGAAAAACCAAAACAAAACGCATTTACTGTAAATCGAGACAAGAAAGCTAAAATAAATCAACAATAAAAACAGCAATAAAAACAATCAAAGAGTGTAGCAAAGAGCATGAAAGTACATTAAGTCTGAGCTGGTGTAATTATGATTGAAACAGAAAGCATGATCAGTTATGACCCAAGAAACTAAAAAAAGGCCCGTGATTGAGAAAAACAAAGGAAAAACTAATCAACAAGGATACTGAGTAACACATAATGAGAAGATACAGAGTGAACAACTATAAATCAGATAAAGTATGCTAGCCAAGTTTGAAGTTAAGAGAATATATACTGTCTAAAGCAATGTAATTGAAACAGAAAGATTGAGGAGCTGAGGAAGGCGATAGGGCACAGGCTAACCACTCTAATAAATGAAGGAAATACTGTATATTGTATAGTAGAAAAACAAAATTGTTACCAAGGGGGGTAGGGGAGATGACAAAAAAATCAATAGCACGCGCATAAAAAGACAAGACACCATTTAGTATTTCCTTCATTTATTAGAGTGGTTAACCTGTGGATAGGGTAAAAAATAGTACTAAATAACCAAACAAAGAAAAAACAAAATGACCAGGATAATGAGTACACCTTTACAAGAAGATATGAAGTGAATAGAAAATGAGAAGAACAAGAAAGGAAAAATACAAAAACGAAAAGAAAAGGGCTCCAACCATCTGGGATAAGCTCGCACTGTTTCGACCAATCATTGCGCACGTACTATCTTAACTATATAATAATACTTTTTAACAGGCGTTTGGATTGATTTTTATTCATTTCAGAGTTACTTAAAAAAGTTCTCTAATAAAAGCACTGTTGCAAGTGATATGTATGAAGCCCTGCAAAAGGTTAGTTCTCCTACACATTACAACAGTCATTAGTTCATTTATCCAACATGGTGGCCATGACGTCACATGCATCCAATAATATAGGGGTCAACGTTTCTTCATGGCTACCATCTTAGTAAAATATTCATAAAAGATGGTACAGCATGGCAGATATGAGGTTTTTAGTGCTAATTGTTTTTTTCCTAGCACTGTGACAAGAAGCACTGTGGTTTAATTAATGACACCCTTGTACCTTGGCTTAAAACTCTTGGTTACCCTGTGGTCACGGTATCAAAAAGTGACTCAAAAGCTAATACTTACGTTGTCAAGCAGGAACGTTTTGTATATGACAAGAGCGCTAACGTCGAGACAAAAGGGTAAGCCTATGTATTTTCCTTTCACTTGTTATTTTCCTTTATGATCCAGCAGTACATCATTCCCTTCATGCATTGTATGCATGGTCTTTGTTTTATATTGATGGCAGTGGCAGTGCTGGTGATGATGATGGCGATGGCGATGGCAATGGCAGTGGCAGTGCTGGTGATAATGATGGCGGAGGCGGTGGCGGTGGGGGTGATTGTGGTTATGATGGTGATGATGATGGATGATGAGGGTTAATTGTTACAAATACTTTAACCTGTAGTCATTTTGGGCCGGCTTGCAAAAATCCTCCTTTGATGTTTCTTTTTTGTGCTGTATGTTTTGCCACTAAGAGAYAGGGGCCAAAGTAAGTCTAAGAATGTTTTCCATATTTTGTAGTGTTTACTTTAGTATACATGCATTATTGTGTTTGTATAGTTGGAGCATATACTTCAGATACAAAACTGGTCTCAAAGGTGACAAGGTGGTATTTGAAGCCAATAAATGGGTAACAGGGGACCAAGGTAAATATCAACAATTTCAATAATACAGGTTATTTCTTTGATCCCTGGGGTAAGGGTTAGACTTTAGTCAGGGTTATAACTGCCTTAGAATTTTTGCAAACACCTTCACCTTGGGTTTAATCACTCTCCTGCCCCAGTATTTACAAGATTAGTGTGATGATTCATAACACTCTCCCACCCCAGTATTTACAAGATTAGTGTGATGATTCATATCACTCCCCCACCCCAGTATTTACAAGTGTGATGATTCATATCACTCCTCCACCCCAGTATTTACAAGTGTGATGATTCATATCACTCCCCCATCCCAGTATTTTACAAGTGTGATGGTTCATATCACTCCTCCACCCCAGTATTTACAAGTGTGATGATTCATATCACTCCTCCACCTCAGTATTTACAAGTGTGATGATTCATATCACTC